TAGGAAAACTTACGGTGTGAGCTACCTATAAGGGGAACAGCCCACCTCAAATCCCTCTGACAACTATAGGTGAGGATTCCAGCAAAATGCACAAAACACAAAGTCAGGAATAACCAGGGCTGTGGACTGGCCAGGGAGTAAAGTAGCACGGACAGCCTTAATTCCAACATTGTAAAGCTTCTGAATGCTTCACCGATTTAAAAACCTTAACACAACTTTCTGTCACTTAAACAAAGACACCACACAGCAGTATTTCAGCAACCAAATACACATTTTAGCTTTTTTCTGGGACAGCAAAAATATACTAACAGCACAGATACAATTGGATTCCTGCACAGAGGGCTCCACATCTTTTAAGTGAAACCCAAACTCTTCAGCACCTCTTGTCTGAAACAGGTCCCAAGTGTACAACCCCTGTTTCTTCTCTGCTGCTTCTAACTAACATTGGATGTTGTCCAAGAATTTACTGCTTACTTCCACCTGGAGTAAGAAATAGAGAAAGGTCCTGCAAAAACCATGAGCTATCTGAAGTATATAAACCAAATAGACCACATAAAATAGAGCTAAGCACTGACCTCAAGTACTGTGCAATAATTTGCATTAGAAACAAGAGATGAGTAACAGGTAAAACCCACATAAAAAGAGCAAAGTACCCACCATCTGGATGAAGGGATGCAAGAAAATCTAACAACCAATGAAACCCCCCAATTATTATGAGAGGAGACGCTAACCACCTAAGATTTCCCACCATACCAAATAATGCTTATCAGTGGCTACAGCACTACATACACCTCTTGGCTAATTTTCAGAATTGTGTGATAAGGTGTAAAGAAAAACAGTGTAAACCACAAATAAAATTTTCATTAAAAAAAATCTGCCCAAAACTCCTTGAGGACTTGAATATTTAGCTCTTTAACCACTCCTTTCAAGATACAATTTACACCTTTCATTCCAAATAGCAAACACCACACACAAATTAAGAGCAAGGCTTTTGAATAGCAGGACCAAATACCATTCTTCCTGCTACTTTTTTTTAACTGGAAGTAAGGATTAAGAGAAAAGAAAACACAATGCCTACCTTTGATTTCTTTACCCATGTATTTAATGAACAATCAGTATGTAGAGTACAAATGAATGAAGACCTTAGAAACTAACATCATGGCTATAATGAAAACACATCCAGTGTTTTCAAGAGCTGCAGAACATGAGGTGTTCTGACACAAAGAGAAGGCTGAAAGCCTTTTGGTTACATTAAGACAAGGATTGTAAATATTCTAATTTTAAACTCTAAAGAATCCCTTCAAACCACTCAGTACTATTAAACTCTTTGGAGCACCCAATACACCTTTCAATTTCTAGTTCTTTTCCCAGAACCGTTCTCTAAAATGTGGTGTAAACTTCAGGAAATCACAATTATCTTTTCCCTTCATGTTCCCAACACAGGTCAAAAACACTAGGAATATCAAAAAGGTCATTCTCATTCAACTCCCTTCTTGAGGGGACTTAAATACTGAATCAAAGAACAAAGAAATCTCAAGCAAAGCCTTTGACACAGTCTCCCATAGCATTCTCCTAGAGAAGACGGTGGTTCATGGCCTAGATGGGTGTACTCTTCACTGGGTTAAAAACTGGCTGGATGGCCTAGCCCAGAGAGTCATGGTGAATGGAGCTAAATCCAGTTGGCGGCCGGTCACACGTGGTATCCCCCAGGGCTCAGTTCTAGGGCCAGTCTTGTTTAGTATCTTTATCAATGATCTGGAGGAGGGGATTGAGTGTGCCCTCAGCAAGTTTGCAGATGACACCAAACTGGGTGGGAGTGTTGATCTGCTCGAGGGGAGGAGGGCTCTGCAGAGGGACCTGGACAGGCTGGATCGATGGGCAGAGACCAACTGTATGAGGTTCAACAAGGCCAAGTGCCGGGTCCTGCACTTTGGTCACAACAACCCCATGCAACACTACAGGCTCAGGGAAGAGTGGCTGGAAAGCTGCCTGACAGAAAAAGACCTGGGGGTACTGGCTGACAGCCAGCTGAACATGAGCCAGCAGTGTGCCCAGGTGACCAGGAAGGCCAATGGCATCCTGGCTTGTATCAGGAATAGTGTGGCCAGCAGGAGTAGGGAGGTGATCGTGCCCCTGTACTCGGTGCTGGTGAGGCCGCACTACTGTGTTCAGTTTTGGGCCACTCACTGTAAGAAAGATGTTGCATTGCTGGAGCATGTCCAGAGGAGAACCACAAAGCTGGTGCAGGATCTGGAGCACAAGTCTTAGGAGGAGCGGCTGAGGGAACTGCGGTTGTTTAGTCCGGAGAAGAGGAGGCTGAGGGGAGACCTGATCGCCCTCTACAACTACCTGAAAGGAGGCTGTAGCAAGGTGGGGGTCGGCCTCTTCTCCCTGGTAACAGACGACAGGATGGGGGGAAATGGTCTGAAGTTGCGTGAGGGCAGGTTTAGGTTAAACATTAGGAAAAATTTCTTCACAGAAAGGGTTGTCAGGCTCTGGAATGGGCTGCCCAGGGAGGTGTCAAGGCCCTATCCCTGGAGGTATTTAAAAGAAGGGTAGACGAGGTGCTTAGGGACATGGTTTAGTGGTGGGATGGCAGTGTTAGGTTAACAGTTGGACTTGATGATCTTAAAGGTCTTCTCCAACCTAAACGTTCTGGGTTGGAAGGGACCTTTAGAGGTCATCTAGTCCAACCCCCCTGCAGTCAGCAGGGACACCACTAACTGGATAAGGTTGCTCAGAGCCCCGTCCAACCTGGTCTTGAATGTTTCCAGGGATGGGGCATCCACTACCTCCCTAGGCAACCCATCCCAGTGTTTCACCACCCTCAAAAATTTTTTTCCTTATATCAAGTCTAAATTTACTCTGTTTTAGTCTAAAACAATTACCCCTTGTCCTATCTCAACAGGCCTCATTAAAAACTCTGTCCCCCATCTTTCCTGTAGGCCCCCTTTAAGTACTGAAAGGCTGTAATCAGGTCTCCCCGCAGCCTTCTCTTCTCCAGGCTGAACAAGCCCAACTCTCTCAGCCTGTCCTCATAGGAGAGGTGCTCCAGCCTTGGATCATTTTTGTAGCCCTCCTCTGGGCCTGCTCCAACAGTTCCATGTCCTTCTTCTTAATCACAAATATTATCTAAAGAAGTTTAATTAGAAGCTGAAACTGTTCTTCCTTTTATTGATACATTTTTGCCCTTTACATTCAACACTGCTTTATCTTCCATTATTTTACCTTTCCATCTTTTGAAGCGATAATTTCATTCCTTTCAGTATATTCTTCTAGCTCTGTCTTACTGCCCATGCCACTGAAACAAGACACAACCATTCTGCAAGCCCAATTCTCCCCTTCCACTGATATACTGCTGCTGTGTTTAACAACTTAATTTCCACGTGACAGTAAGAAACAGACATTTTAAGTACCTTAGGAAAATTATTAAACTGGCCTTCAAGTCCTCTGTTTTTAAGACCCCCAAAACCGTCCAGGATAGGTAGCAGAACCTGTATTGTGTATCTAAGCTACTGTCAATAACTCTACTTTCCTCTTTACACATTTGTGACTCTTCAACTAGGGATCCAGACATTACCACCTGAGAATGACAGCTATAATCAAGTGCACATTAAAAAGAAAATGAGCTTTCTAATAACCCATGACCTCTACTACTGAAAAAAGGACCCTACAGAGTTTTGGACGTGCTTCATACAAAAATCAACTTCAATGCTGAGCCACGGTACATTCATTCTGAAGATGGATAAAACAAGATTGTAACATGAAATTTTGTCACAGGACTTATCTATCAATTTATTTATTGTATTGTATATGTATTTATCACCTAATGACACAGACTCGGTTCCTTCCCAAACCGTGGCTGTCAAAAAACTCCTCCCATACAAATCACAACCTAATTCACAGGTTCTACATTCTGAGCTTCAAAGGACTCCTTGATACTCACTGCCTACTCCCTGGCAAACCCATGAGAACATTTCTGTCTTTTGTGACCATAAAACGAAGCATCAGTCACAGTTAACAATTTACTAAACTGTGACTCTCCCTATTTTTTCTCGTATGTGAGCCAAGAAGCAGTTAACAATGATGACATTAGAAACTACCACACCAAGGTATCCGAGTTAACACCTTACTGATATGAACAGGGCAGCTCACACCTCTTGCAGCTATTGTTCCAGTTTCTCTACAACCTCACTTAGACATCTCTGCTTTTAGTTCACATTCTGAGGCTCTCAACAGAGCCATAACAGGAGGGACTCACTGCAGGGGGGCGGGGGGGGAAGGTAAGCAAAAGACACTGGATAACAAGGTAGCAGATTTAGAGAGGTGTCAGTAAGCAATGCCACTGCTCAGCAAATGAATCGCAGTATTGGTGTGACACAGCATGTACCCAAAGTACATCCTCAGTAGCCCTACCACAGCTAATATACAACTAAGGCATGGATTAGGAGGGACATATAATGTCATTATAGACATAATTAGGGAAGCAGAACACTGATGAACTTCAGTGTTTGGAGACATCCTTTTTGCTGTATGCTGAACATGCAACAGCTTGAATTAAGCTAGTGTAATAACCAGACTTTTTCCAATGGACAACTGGGAGCAAAATTACACTGTAGATGAACCACCACCACCTGAAATGCAGTGGTAAGTTTTATAATATTTTCTTAATTTAGTAAACCACCAATACTTTAGATGATATGATCAACAAAAGAGAACTTGATGACTCTAAAAATGTCTTGATTGGAGGGCCTGAAGAGCCATGCCCAGGGCAGGTTTCCATCAGAAATGTAGAGCTTAGCCTTGGCTGGCATCCTTCAGCTCTCAACAGCAGTCACGACCGTTGCAGTTCACCACCAACTACAGGTGCCTCAACACCTTGCATTAGCTGAAGCACGCCAAGGCCTCACTGTTTGTTCTGCCAAGGATCAGCCTTTTAACACCAGTGCACCCAGCCAAAGGCACCTGCCTCAGGAACAGAGTGGACGAGTGTCTATTACCTGGGTGTAAGGACACGGGCTTAGATTCACTTCTGAGGATACGTGGCTGTAACTGTTCCGACGAGACGTCGGTAATGTGAAGCCGAGGACCACGTGACCTTCAACCTCTGCCTTTAGGCTCGTTTCCCGGGCAGGGGGCCACAGCAGGCCGGGGGGCGGCAAGGCCCCGCGGCACCT